ATAAAGAATATTACGAAGAAATTAAGCGATAATAAAACTCTTAATATTAAGAATACGACTTAGCTCTTTAAGATTTCATATTATATACTCTCTATAATTCTATATTAAATTATTACTTAATAAACGAAAAATATTATTATAACTTAATTTATTATCTCTATTATATTAATATAGTATATTATTATAATAATATTATAAAAGAAAAATCTATTATAATAATTATAGCTAATTAGATCTCTATAGAAGAAATATTAAACGATATATATTTAAATAAATAAAACTATTTAATATCTATAGCTATTTTATTATTCGAAAATTTTTACTATAATAATAGATATTATAAGATTTATATTACTAATTAATATATTATCTTTATTTCTTTTTAATATTTTAATACTTCTTATTATAAAAATATAGTTTTTCTCTATTTTTTATAGATAATTATTATAAATTAATTTTTTATATTCGATATACCTTTCTAATTAGATCTTAGCGCGTTTCTCTTTATATATATATATTTATATATTATATAGATTAAATTAATTTTATAATAATAAAAGTAGATTAAAAATATATAATAAGTAATTAGAGTTCGATTTAACTTAGAGCTAAAGCTAAAATTCGATTTAATTTTAAAAAATTTAACTTTATAAATTTAATTTATAGGTTTTTATTTATATATAATAAAAGCTTAATAGATCTATTAACTAATTATTTAATTTTATATATTTAAATAAATAAGTATATTAATATTATATAGAGTAACTTTATAATTAAATTACTATTAATATATATAATAGAATAAAATAGAGCTAAGCTTAAAAATCTTAAATTTATATATATAGTTAATTATAAATTAAAATTCGCTACGCCCTTTAATTAGATTAATTAAGTTATTATAAATAAATAAATAAAGACTTATAAATTAAATTTATAAAGTTAGATTTTTCTAAGTTAAATTAAATTTTAGCTTTAGCTCTAAATTAAATTGAATTCTAATCGCTTATTATATATTTTTAATCTACTTTTATTATTATAAAATTAATTTAATTTATATAATACCTTAACGTATCTCTCTTTATATATATGTATTTATATATAGATTAAAAACGTATAGCAAGCGATTAGAGTTCGATTTAACTTAGAGCTAGAGCTAAAATTCGATTTAACTTAGAAAAATTCAACTTTATAAATTTAATTTATAGGCCTTTACTTATATAGTATATAAATATATATATATAAAGAGAGGCGCGCTAAGATTTAATTAGAAAGATATATTAAGTATAAAGAATTAATTCGTAATAATTATTTATAAAAAATAAAGAAAGACTATATTCTTATAATAAGAAGTATTAAAATATTAAAAAGAAATAAAGATAACGTATTAATTAGTAATATAAATCTTATAATATCTTCTATTATAATAAAATTTTTCGAATAATAAAATAATTATAGATATTAAATAGTTTTAATTCGTTTAAATATATATTATTTAATATTTCTTTTATAGAGATCTAATTAACTATAATTATTATAATAAATTCTTCTCTTATAATATTATTATAATAAAATACTATATTAATATAATAAAAATAATAAACTAAGTTATAATAATATTTTTCGCTTATTAAGTAATAATTTAATATAGAATTATAAAGAGTATATAACGTGAAATCTTAAAGAGTTAAGTCGTATTTTTAACGATAATAGCTTTATTACCGCTTAGTTTCTTTATAATATTCTTTATAATATTCTTCATAATATTCTTTATAATATTCTTTATAATATTCTTTATATTTATTTATTATAGTTTCTTCTCTTACTTTTTTTATAGAGTATTAAATTAAATAGCTAATTAAATAACTAATTAAATAAATAATTAAATAAATAATTAATAATTTAATTAAGTAAATTATTAAGTTAATAGAATAAATAATATTAATTAAATAGCTAATCGAGTATTATTAACTTAGAAAAAGTATATAAAAAAGAATAATAGCTATAAATCCGTTTAGACTTTTTTTAAGAGTCTTTTAATATATTTATAAGTAATAATAGATAGCTATTAGATTACGACCTCGATTATTAATAATAATTAATCTAAAGATATTAATAAAGACTCTAAAAGGCGAGTAAAAAATATATATATATCTAAAGCGTTTAATAACGTTTTCGCGAGAGATATTAAGAATAATTATATTTATATTAATAAAATTAATAAAATTAATAAAGTAATAAAAGAATAATAATTATATAAATAGATAAAAGAATTATTATTCGATCTCGAACGCGTTTAATATAATTATAATATTTAAGTATTAATTTAATTTATTAATAATAAGCTAAACTTTATTATTTTTATAGCATTAGAAAGCGTATATTAAGCTCTATAATTTATTAAATTATAAAGAAATAATATCTATAAAAAGCTTTTAAATATAAATTTTTAATAAGAGAGCTTAAGAGAGCTAGTAAGCTAACTTAGTTAATTTAATTAAAAGACGTAATAATCTTAAATTAATAATTAGCTATATATATAAATTTAAGATTTTCTAATTTAACTCTATCTTATTCTATTATATATACTAATAAATAAAGATTTATAACTATTAAAATCTCGCCCTTACGCGCCTTCTATATTAAAAAAATAGATATATATTATTTATAATAGAAATAACTTTTTTATTTTCTATTAAAATTTTAAAATTTTTTTTTTAAATTATAAAGCGTTATTTAGGCTATTTAAATTTTTAAGAATTTTAAAATTTAGTTTTATAATTATTAAAGCGTAAGAAATTCAAATATCGCTTATTAGAGTTCGCTCGATAACCGGATAGCCCTAATTAAAAATCAGATATACATTATTTAATTTTAAAATAACTTCTTTATTTTCTATTTAAATTTTAAGATTTTTTTTTTAAATTATAGAACGAAATATAGACTTTTAGAGAAAAAAAGAATTCTTAAATTTAGTCTTATAATTATTAAAGCGTAAGGAATTCAAATATCGCTTATTAAAGTTCGCTTACTAAAGATCGCTTACCTATTTACTCGATAGCCCTAATTAAAAAAATATTTATAAATTTAATTCATAGATTCTTTACTCGTTTTATAATATAAAATAATAATTTAATTTATAGATAATCGATAAGGCTAATAACTACTCTATATAGTTAGCCTATTAAATTATTACCCTTTTCATTTTAAATCATTCTTTTAAATTACATTGCTAAACCTCCCTACTGTGGGTTTAGAACATAAACAAGACCTTTTACTCGTAGTAGGGCTAGGGCTAATTTTAGCGCTGCGCAGAACCTTTGGTGATAACCTCTGCCGACTCAGCCGTGGTAGTCAACCTTTCGCTCAGGAAACAAGGACAACTCGTTCTCATGTCTACCAATACCAGACACGCTGGTAGCATGTCGGCGATTTGGTTTTCTATTAAAGGATGCGATCAGAAGCGCGTCATCACAAAAGTCTCGGACCTAGACCGGATTGTGGATATGGAGATCTAATCTTAATTCGCGCTGACAATTGATGAGCTTGATAACGATTCGGATTATCAGTAGCAGAAACCTCTCGAGTAACACCGAACTGAATTTGCCCCCGTCGAACAGAGTACCCAAATTCAACAGCGTCCCGCTGACTGTCACGTGTAAACATGATAATCTCTTACCAGTTCCCTGCTGCGTCACCGGCGCTCTCCACCCCACCCAGCTTTTCCATCGTTGTCTCCACCACCTCCAGGGAGCGGCCATTAACGTCAATTGTTGCAATGTATCCGCATTTGTCCCAGTACGCGGCCAAGCCGCTGCAGGTGATAGCGCACGGAGGGCGGCAAAGAAATTGCACCAAGTGGAACAATCCGATTTTCGCTGGCATAGGGCGCTACATGGAGATAGCCACATCTAGTAGATCTGGTAACCAACTGCGACTCGAGTTGTTCTTGGATTTCCACAGATCTTACGAACGACGAGCAGCGTTGTCTAATCTCCAATGGCACCAGTGGTTCGGTAATACGCTTTGCCTCTCTTGGGCTTCGAGAGCCGCTGGGACACCTGGCTAAGATTGTGGCGGTTATGTATACACGTTGCTTGTACACATTCAGTCCATCTACATTCCATTGGAGGGACGACTAGAGCGCGAGTCAATGCCACAGCATGGTTTGTGGTACAGGGCTCGGAATTCTGAATATCATTGACTGGAAATGGCAAATCTTTGCCCTCTGCCCAGCTGAAACTCTTTTAGGTTTTCTAACCACTTCAGATGTGCTCAGTTCTCTCACAACAGCGGTCTCTTTTTGCTTTTAAGCTTCTGCGCTTCTGCGGACTATTGATACTCTGTCGCAAAGATTTGGCATTGCTCATACGCTTGTGCTTCAAGCTTCCATAGCATGAGAGAACGGAGGCATGCGACATCGATGAATTATTTGAGATGCTGGGGTACAAAGCAAGGCCATCCGTCATTTTATGCACGAAACAGTACACTGATAGATCAAGATCTTGACTTTGTTTCCTCCAGACAATGCTTAGAGTCAATGAACTGGTTTGATAGGCCGGTTACATTGCACTTTCATCAGCTTGGATCGTGTGCGACTATTATGTGTCAAAGCTTGACAAGACTTGCAGTGGAGTCCAAATATACGCCTTGGGCGTTTTCAGCTCCTATCTAGTCTGACGTCGAGAGACAAAAGGCAGCAAAAGCAGGATATGGATGGGCACGCCAGATGCTGTGCGGATTGTGGCTTACCTTCAAGGCTATATCATTCTCATATCGTTGTTCACCGCTTTGACAGTCCTTGCCCCCTCATTTCACTGCAGGCCCAGAAGCATACACTCATTTGTAAGTACAAAATCACGTTCAGCATTCTGCTTTCTACTTTCCGGCCCAGTGCTGAATCTGATCTCGGGTGTATAACATTCTCTAGTTCCCCTAATACGACGCACAAGCCCCTCTATATGACGTTGGCCTATGCATTTGTGAGACTCCTTCTCGCCCCAATGGATCCTAAAATGTCCTCGAACACCAAGGAGGGGGTCAGGGACATGGGCGCCGGCCGACTTACTCACGACCATCTTCACTCTCATCAAATGCAGCTGTCTCTCTCTCTACTCGCTCCTCCCCTCGGAGGTACAAATTTCACTCCTGGCCTAAGCACGGGCTTGGGCTCAGGCTCTGGCTAGCAGGCTCCTGCGCCTGTCTTACCGGCGTCTGTGTCACCTTCACCGCGACCAGCGACGGTCTCCGCTAATGGTGGAACGCCCGGACGACGGTTCTACAACATTCGGTTTCAAACAGATCAGATTCAGTACCTCACTGGCGTTGATCCTCTCTTCTCTAACGCATCCTCAAACGTCAATGTCCGCGGCGGCAATACCAAATTCGAGTTGTTATGCACTGACTTCGACGGATTAGAGTGTGGCAGTCCTTATACCACTATTCGTGGTAGCGGTTTTGCTCTGGCAATTGCCCAGTCGACGACTAGCATGAGTGGGAAATACATCAATCCGGGCACGCATACGAAGAGCGTCGAGATGATGCCTAGCCGTTTGAGCAAGGTGCAGGTCAGAATGGTCAAGCGGTAACTAATCATCATTAGTCTTTCGATAACTTCTCCGTCCCGGCTGTTCTCTCCTTTCAAGACGGAGAAGCGGTACATCGAGACTTGAAATTCCACCAATCGTGGACTCCGGTGGGAGTGACCTCCAAAAAAGCGGGTTTTTGTAGAATTCCCCTGCAAACCTGCAAAAGCTTCATCAGAGGTAAAAGAGGGGGGAGGGCGCCGTACGTGGAGGGACTCTCAATTTTTTTCCCCCATCAAAGTCTTGACTAGCTTGATGGTTGAACTCACACGTCGCTCTTATGGCGGTCGTAAATCTCCACAGAAGATGAAGGTCGCCCCCCAGTATTTCTGATTGCTATGCGTTACTAGAATCGACAGAGAACGTTCCTTCTACTACGATCTATCTCAAGGTCAGAAACCCTTCGTCGAAACTCTATGCCTTGCTATCCGATGGAATCGCCGACATGTCGAATCCTGCAAAATCTCCCATGGAAGCTTCCTGTTGCTCTGAAAGAAATCAGGGGAAAAGGGTCGTTGCTCCACTACTCGCTTTCGTTTCGATGGCCAATTCAGATGCTGGCTCGAAACTCCACAAGTCTGAGGCAAAACTCATTCTGCGAAGTTCTAACACTAGATAATTCGCCTGGCAGGTTCTTTAAACAGGCTAAATCAGCGTCGAGAAAGCGCTTGGATTACGAATGCTGATCTGTAAACGGACTTGAAACGACTGAACAGGCAGAGATGGAAAATGTTTCGGACATCAGTTCTCAACGTGAGGGAGGTGCAAGGTCTCTCGATGAAGAAACACACCTCCGCTGACACTATAGTGTAGGCGTACTGCTCCGTACTTGAATTCTTAGCTGATGACACCCCCATGGATCATGCCTTTCAATGTACATGAATTTGATCAAGCTTTTCCTGTGTCGTTCATTTTCTAGACAACGAAGGGAACCCAAATACCAGAAATTGCAGCAAGGCTCGCTTCCAAACTGTTCTTTGTTCTCTGGGACACCAAGAAGCAAAGATTCTAGGACTGGAGCGACTAACAGAGACGGTCTCCACATTAATGATAAGCTCTTTGCAGTAGGGCTTGGCGTTGCTGTTGCTGTTATGCTTGTACTCGATTTTTTACTTGCACTCATGGCCGCAGCTATGCTGCTTGACGCTGCCGCTGAAGACTCGGCGACAAAAGCCTGCGAAAAGCTTGCTGTGCCATAGATGCTCTGGCAGTAACTTTCATAAAGGCTCGTCGCAGTGGCAGCGTACGTGCTGGTGCTAGACTTGCAGACTGTATGAAAGCAGCCGGTAAGAACGTCCAAGACGTCGTTGGGGGCGCTCAGACAGGCGCAGTCGTTGGAGACGTCGTCGCAACCCGACGGGTCGGCTAACCCGATCGGAATTGGACAGTTGTATACGCAGGACGGCTGCGACATGACCGCCGCCAGTGCGGTGATGCTATAGTCTGGGGAAGAGGAAGTCGCGGCTGCACTCATGGCCATGCTTGTCGACGCTGCCGGCATCGATAGGCTGTTCGGTACAGCGGTGGGAGACGTTCGGGCTTGAGTCAGACCCAGCAGGGGGAAAAGAGATAGGAGTACCATGGCTATGGATCAAATGATCTGGCGGATGTTGTTCTGACAGTGGTTCACAACAACGGAAGGTCTCTAGTTATTTGCAGGAGCGGAAGAGAAGAAGCACAAGAAAGAGAGACTTGAGAGATTCTGGATGAGCTCTCCCCAGGACCGAGTGGGGATGCAGGCTCATGGGTTCCTGAACGAATAAGATAAGGTCAATTTTCAGCGATGTGCAAGATACCTGAACGCGTACTAATACCTCGGTAACGGTACGCCAATACCGTTTAATACCGTTGACATGCATAATGTGCTCAAACTTGCTCAGGTCGGCCAATTTCGCTCAAAGGAAGAAAAAAAGAAAGAAAGAATCTCAATTGCCGATGCGCAAAGGGAATAATGAACAATTACTCTTTACCATTTCAAGGGCCGGTCACAAGCTTACATTAGCTTTGCAGATTGTTGGATCTTGCGTGCTGTATCTCCATTTGTAAGACTCTCTGCTAGAACCTCCCTGTTCTTCCTTCTACGGAGTAACCCCATTTCACTTGAGCACTGCAATTTTCGAAAGTACTGGAAAGCCAGCGATCCCAAAGTACAGATGGGGTTTCTTGCGAGTCTAGCATTCTGCCTGACGGTCGTGTTAGTTGGTCAATCAACAGCGCACTTTCTCCTCAATTTCCCCCCTACGATAGGCTTCGATGACAGTCTCGGCCACTCCTCCCTGCGGAAGCTTCACTGTCGATTTCTCCAAGGACAATGTCACAGACTTCCACGTCGGCGGTGATTTCATCGCAATGACTTCCATCCACCCCATGGCAACCTGGCTCTTCCGCGCCACGCTTGATCAGACCGCGTCAGGGAATTGGTCAGATCTATTGTCGGCCGTCGTGCAGACGGGTCTTGGAGACTACTGCGAGACTGGTATTATGGTACCTTCGACTTGGGCTGGTTCAAAGGGCGTTGTTGGAGTTGTGCAGGATGCGCCTGATGGAATTTTGTATCAGGTGAGTCTGCTTATTTCTCAATTTCGCAGTCTACTGATTGATACCGAATGTTAAAGTGTTCAACGGTCAACTTCATCGCCGGCTTCATCACGCCTTCCGGTATCTGCAAGAACGTGACCGGCCTGTCCGCGGCGTACACTGTAAGTATTTCCTCAGTGCTTGTCCCTTTCTTCAAACCCGAGTTTGAGCCTTGAGACATGCTGTGAGAGTACACTCTCTGGAGGCTGATCAAGGCTCCAAGTCCTGTTCAAACAAAAAACGCTGACAAGCAAATCATGATGATAGACTGATGCGAAGCTTTCCTCTCTTCCCGCCACCGCAGCTGCAACCTCAAACCCGGCCACTTTTACCGGCACCAGTACTAGCACTGGTTCTACCGCTACCAGCACTGCCAAGGCTTCAGAAGCCCAGACTATCGATCCATATGGTGGACTGAGTATGCTCGTGGGGCTCATTACGATCGGTTCAGCGACACTTATGGCGGGCCGCCTGTGAGCGGAGAATGGGAAAACGCGGGCTCAATACCCACGGGGCGGACTACCGGGGCTCTCCGAGGTACATAGTATATACAATTGCATGCTGTTTTGCCAAGGACGACAGTAGTAGATTCGTATTCTCAAGCACTACTGCAGCAACACAGGAAGAGCTTGCTTCAGGACCTAAAGGACAAATAACCCGTTGCTTTCAAAGGAATGTGACATGTAACGAAGAGAACAATAATCAATCATGCCTCTCAACTTGTACTGCTGACTTATAACCATCAGCCATCAGCCATCAGCCACCGCCACGACCATCAATGCATGAAACCCTCACGATAAGAATGCACCACCATCCGAACGACCATCCCTTCGGAAGAGCCTCTCTCCCGACATTCTCATCTGCCGTCCGCCAGTCAGTCAATCAATACTGGACTACCGTTCTCTACAGTGCGCACCAACGTGTCTACTTGCAAGTGCACTTTCCGCTTGGGCAGGCGCATGAGCTGCCGCAGCTGCAAGAGCATCCAGGAGCTAGGCGAACGTCAATATGTTTGGAGGGTGGGAAAACGAAGGGCAAACGAGAGGGCAACGTGGAGAAATGAAATGGGTGACTGACCCATGTTTTTTTGTTTCTGGAGTATAGACTGCTGGGTGAAAAAAGGTAGTGAGGCTTGTGTCAGTATTGTTGTGAAGGATGCGATTTTTTGAGGGCGAATGTGACGCGGCTGCTCTACTATGGTGAAATCGTGGAAGCTGGAAGGTGTTATCGGGAAACTGTAAGAAGCATGGAAAGTCGCAGAGGGAAGCGGGTATTTGTAGGCAGGAGTCACAGGGTGAAGGTGGCAAGGTGGGTTCGGATCAAAAGCACAGATCAACTGCCTCTTCTGGAAGTGGCTGCTGGAAAGATTGCAAGTCATTGGTGGGGAGCTCATGTTCAACGCAAGCGTCTCCATGTACGGTGGGGTTCATCCAATAGATACTCAGGCAGTATGGGCCCCTGCAGTACTCCGTATGCCATGTTTCAAATGCCGATGCAACGACGGGACGCTGAGAAAAAGGACTGCAGCTTTAGAGAGATAGGCTCGGCGATCGACGATGGTATTTGACATGCTCAATATTGTAAGTAGTCTTCCAAGCATACCTTGGCAATCGACATTAGAGGTCAAATAGAAAGAGGAAGCAAAGGTTGCCGGCATCACTTTGTGTTTCGGCCGCTAGAATGAATTTTGAGAAGTCGTGAAGCATGGAGAAAGATCGAACTGACAGCCTGTGAGAATAATAGGACATGGATTTCCGGGAAGAATAAAAAGGACTAATATGGTAGCAGAACGAAAGCTTTCGGCGGGATTTCTTGCGACACCTCGCCGGGCTAATTAGTGTATGCACAAAGGTCCGGAATTTAGCGTATTCAAAACCGTCTGGAATGCTTGGCACCGGAGAACGTACTGTAGCATAGAAATCTCTCCGCAAAATCATTCAAATCTAAAAGCCACATCGCAAATAGTCGCATTTAATCAATTTTGAAGCTATACAACCTCAGCTATACCTCCCGAACGCACCAATAACGCAGCAGCCACCGAACCGCCGCCGTCGCCGTCCCTCAGTCGCCGTCGCAGCAAGAACTAACCCCCCACAACTACTGAAATAGCCTCTACTCAAGAAGCTCAGAAACAGGTGACTGGGGGGCTGAGGAACATGCCAAGACTTAAGCATAGCTTCATTTTTCATTTGGGACCTATTGAAACGATAGCAGTGTTATTGAATAATTTTGCGGAGAGATTTCTATGCTACTTGTACAGTGTGGTGTGTGAAAGATCTCCGGTGCCAAGCACTCCAGACGTTTTTGAATACGCTAAATCCTTAACGTAGGGAAAATCGCACACACCCTACCAAGAATAGTACTGAAGAGCTTTATCTTCTCCTTTTCAACCTTCCATCACTCGTAGCAAGTGAAGTTCCTGTATACCTCGCTTAGCGATAACTTGGTGTTTCTTTCTTCGCCCACAATACCTGCAAGCCTCCCCTTATTCCTTCGCTCGAGGATCGTACCCCACCTACTCCTTCATTGGAAATTCGAAGCCTTAAGGTTAAAAATCAAGCAATGGCTCAGTTTAGGCATCCTTTCAATCAGATTGGGTCATCTTAAATGCTATGGGCCCGAACTACTGGTCGTGCAGCTCCCTCATGATTTCTTTCCAGGATCCTATCTATCGCCAGCTTCAGCTTTTCCTTTATATATTCCTAGAGGCAACCTTTCCTCCGGCCGAGGTTGACCTGTGACGAAGAATTCCGTCACGACTGTCCCTCCAGTGGCCAAATGGGACATTTCCCCTAGCTTCTGTGACACCCATCCTAGGGACGCTGTGTCTCGCATTACCCAAAGCAGCTTAACATTTGCCGCGCGAGTAGTATACTCCTTCATCTCCAGCCAAATGTGCTGTAGTAACGGGGGGCAGCGTGTACTCCCGGTGCCCCCAGCAACAAGAATGATTGTGTCATACTCATTCTCTATGCGACGACCGTTTCCACAGTTCGGGCCGTCTATCTACAAGTGTATAGGCTATTATTGTTATTGCTTGTATAGCATGAGAGCTTGCGTGTGAATCCTGCATGTGAGCGTACGAAAAAGCTAACTGTTTGCACCTCTGAGGTATTCTGACTATGTCGATCGCTTGCCCACTGGGGACTGGAAGCGATAGAGAAAGTATGGGTGTAAAAGACAGAGGGCGACGGGGAACGGAGGGAGCCGTGTTAGCCGGATCTCCAGGGAAACGTTGAGGAACCAGGACATCAACCCTTGTCATGCGGTCAGGGAGAGCCCGGACACAAGTTGAGAATCCTGTCAGCCCCGGGTTGTTAAATCTGGAAGACTGGTTGTGCTAGGACACACGTCCGAAGATTGACAATATCCACCACGCCAATGTTGCCCAAAGATACGCCCACGAACGGCCCTAATGACAAAGATGCCAAAAGCAAAGCCCGACGTAGGTTACAGCAAGGAAAAAATGGGAGAAGTAAAATGTCTCATACAATCGGTGACGGATGTGTGGCAGAAAAGGGACAAAAATCCCGAAAAAATTCGCCAACGCTGGTACACTCGTCTACTATCTGGATAGACACAACCACGTATAAGGAAGATGGGGCGTCAATTGACCTCGGGACCCTCAGGGTTGTAGTATCGCTTGTGCAGAGCCGGGTATCCTCCATAATGCCGAGGAGCGACTATGAAGGGCACAGTACGAGGCAAGTGAGCCCGAACACCAAACAACTGACCCAGCGATGGAAAAGGTTCTGCTTCTCGTGGGCCAGGCCTGTAAAGAGGCGCCTGAGGCCATTGACATGACATGAGCCGCTGATGTCATTGTTCTGATGACCTGGCGTTATCGGACGAACATTGCTGAGAAAGAAGTGTAATCGAAAAGATCCAGAGAAGGGGCCTTCTTACACAGGAAAGAGTATCTGGCCATCAAAGATGTTAGAACGCTGTGACTGGTGTTTCTGATCAACAGCAATAAGGAAAACAGACCAAGATACTACTGTTACTATCAATCAATAACAGGTGTGCCATGAAAAAGTCCACAGTTAGATGAAGATCTTTGCCTGTCGGAGAAGACTGAATCAACTTGATTTTTTTCCAGATACACACGTTGCGTCTCTCGCACATGCTCGCCGGTGTATTTTTCCGGATTCACCGAATACTTGCTCAAAATTGCGCACACGAACTTTCCGCTACAAGGATCGGTAATGCAACGACAAACAACCCTACAGTGAAACACGTTGTGACATGGCCTTGTAACGAGCAAGACAAACGATCGAACCGTGATTCATACCCTGCAGACCTGCGTAAGCGTCTTTGGCCCACCCTTCTCGACTTAGAAGGATGTAAACTCAACGATAGTGCCGACGCCCCCAACTCAGCTCCATTTGAAAGCGTGCCTGAGACACTCATGTGAGAAGACTCGCTGCTTCAGCATTCATGATTTCGTTTGCTTAAAGCATCTTCTGGCACCTTCACTTCGCTTACCTGGCAAATCATCGCCACGTCTCACGTCGAGGCTACGCTACATGTTATGAGCCTCTGACAGCTTCCCTGAATTCAGCCTACATACAGAACGATCATACTCGCAATGGACATGATGACAACTTCAATGGGTTCGGCCATGGTAACATACACACCAGGTATCCCAATACCCAGCTCCGCCACTGGGGCACCTGAAATGGGCATGCCAGGTATGCCCGGTATGGACATGGGTAGCTCGGTGAATTGCAAATCTTCAGTACGTATCGTCCTTTGCTCACGACTTTCCAATACTCATTTACGTAACTTACATTTTATCATAGATGTTCTGGAACTGGTATACCCTCGACGCGTGCTTCCTATCGACGACATGGCACATAACCTCAAGAGGCATGTTTGTCGGCTCATGCATCTGCGTCATCGGCCTTGTGCTTCTTCTCGAATTCTCGCGCCGCTTGCAGCGCGAATACGACCGGCTGATCCAGCAACACGCCACGTATGACTACGAGGCAGGTCGTGCTTTCAATACCTCTAAGTCCGACAGGAAGGGCAGTGCCGACAGCAATGACATCAGCAATGTGAAAGATCCTCCTCATTCGGCTGTTCCTTTACTGGGGGACTGGGAAAGGTCTTTACCGCTGAGAGCACCTGGTCATGTCCCAAGCGTGCTCCAGCAAGCCATTCGCGCGGGCATCTACACGCTGCAGTTTTCCGTTGCGTACTTGATCATGCTCTTGGCCATGTATTACAACGGATACATACTCGCCTGCGTTTTCATAGGAGCATTTATTGGCTTTTTCATCTTCTCCTGGGATGCATCGGGCGCTGCAAGCATGTAAGTATCCTCTTTTCAAGCCGAGCACTCTGCTGACCACGATTGCTTTGACAAGTACTTCGTCTGAGAACGCCGCGTGCTGCGCGTGAGTTGGTCGATGGCGTTTATATGGCAGAAAACTCATAATGTGATATTCGGAATGAAAGGGGAACAAGAGCAGAACATGCTTTACAATACGCATGTAATCTTAGCCATGAAACCACCACGACTAACCAGGAGATAACCGCAGAAGATGCGGTAGGATACACTTCAACTGCTTTCCATCAATGAATAGTTTGCGTCTTATTCTCTCGGAGTGTTTACAGTCCGAAGGCTTGGATAACCGCCTCTCATGCCTCACTATTCGCACAGTATGACCCAACCAACTCCAGTCAGTCCGAGTACACCCGCCGAGTCCCACCCAATGACCACGTTTCCAATCTCCCCCCCCCCAGCTACAACCGATAACAAGCGTCCGATTACTCCACTGCCTCCAACGGCCAGGTTTAGCCTCTCCCCTAGCTCTGATTCATTCTGGCCGTTAGGTGTATCTTTGATTTGGATGGTGTGAAGCATTGATGCAGGATCCACCACTGCTGGATTCGCTGCTGTGAGGTCGCCGTGTCGACTAGAAGGCGCAGAGAAAGAAACAAACGTGCTTGATCTAGCCAAAGGGAAGAGAGAAGACCCAATAATCTAGGATGCCAAGATCAATAAGATATTTTTGAATTGATTTGCTCAAACGTCTTGATAATTAAAGTCTGAGAATGGAACTTTCGTGATTTTAGAATTTCAAAAAGACCACATTTCTTGAAGGGAAGGGTGTATGATGAGTAAAGACAAAGAGTAAGATAGGCTAAAGAGTGTGGCTAGTAATGGCAGTGCTGTTGAGCTCCAAATGAAGGAAGGTGATCAATGGTTGGATTGGCAGGGGTATTCTAAGATGCCAGTGCTGGTTTTCGGCAAGCCGAATATCAGCTCCCAAAGAAACGGTTGTTGCGCGAGCGTTGTTCCAATATTTGTTCATGATGGCATCGTTCTTGGACCACGCAGCCACACATCTGATTATCAAAACACGGTACATGTATGTAACACATTGGTTGATCAAGTTTGCGAATTTTACCGTTGATCCGTTCAAGTTACCGGCCATGGAACGGGGTATATGCGCAAACCTGCTCACGCTAGACCGAAGACATTGTATGATGACTTTGTGATCTGTGGCCAGATCATGGTGAAGCTGCTCCATTGTTTTTCTATAAAGCTAGCAATCAATCGGCTAAGAGCAGGAAAAAAGGCAAACAGCTCTGGCTGGTGATTTCTTTGTTGATGTTGACGTTGTCGTGCTTGCCTTTGGAGTCAAGCGCGACAACATCACAAAGATGTCCGAAATGTCGGAGACGCTTGAAAGGTATGTCACAATTGTCTCCTCATTACATTACTAGTGTTGTTTTTTTGTCAATGGGAGCGCCATCTCTCGGTCATTATTTTCTCTTGCCCTTGCTCAAAAATCATTCGCTGCCTATTCCGAAACGCTCAAGGTGATGAGTTGTCGTTGGGGTAAGACAGGGTTACCGTTAAGGCGTTGGAAATGACACGTGAGTCCAGAGTGTTCGCATGGATACTTGAGTGTCAGATACTCTCGGCTTCGACCTCGCGGCTCAGGCTTTAGTGGCTTGTAGGCGCGGCTGAAAAACGGCCAGCAAGCAGATTGCCGAGGAATGTGCCACCAAGAACAGACATATAGTACCCTACGTTCAGGCTCATGACTGCCACCATTCTGAATCATAGTCAGTAATATCAAGGTGAAAAGAAAGCCGAAATGAAACCTACAATAGATACCCAACCCCAGCAATTACCACATCCAAGCACGCTCGCGGCACATCTTGCGTTGTTCTCCACGGCCGGACGCCCGAAATATTCCCCTTCAAGATAGCCATGCTCCCCTCGTTACTTTGCTCGCTGGATACGCTCATCTTCGAATCATCCGCGCTCGACCTACTGTTATTCTCTTTCTCCTCTGCGCCCACAATGATGTACCGGCGCCTTGACTTCATCTGCTGCCATATCCGCTCTTGGACCGCCCGTAACGCGAACAAGGCTCTAAAAAGGGTGGCGAGGACTATTAGGAAGATACAGGTGCCAGCGTACTGCCCCGTGGTTGAGGGTGTTTAAGAGCTGGAATAGAGCGGTGTAGTGGTAGAGGTGTAAAAGACCATTTGCATGGTGGACATAGACATCGTGGCTGTAATGGAACTTGAGGAGGGCATGGGCATGGATGCGGAAGGCGAAGAGGACATATCCATGATGTCGATGTGATGAAGTGAGTGATATTGGAGACGTGAGAATTGATAGACAATACAGGTGCATCAAGATGGAAAATATTCATTTCGTCAGAGATGTTTTGCTGGAGCATTAGGAGCGTATGTGGAGAAGGAGACGTAGTCAGCATGGGTCCCCAAACGAATAGCAGAAACATGCGGCGAACGAGGCTGATGCCCAGAGGACGACATGACATTGATGGCAATTGCATGTATCTGATCTATAAAGTAACGTCTCGGCCGAGCACGATGAAGCAGCAGAGGAGACTGCTTTGTCATCCTTCAATGGTCAGATGTGAGAGGGTTTGAGAATGTTTTGGGGAAGAGGGGCGGTAAAAGATGTCGTTGACGTTGGATGCCATTCAAAGCCGGTGAGGAATGGGCGATGGAAAGCAACGCCGTCTTGTTGCTTATTGGCCGATGAGACGAGCCGAATAATAATATGAGCATCAGGGCGGATATGGCAACCTATACCGTGGCTTTGGTGGCGTTCCGAAGATCGGTCTGCCTCGGTCGCGTGTTCCCTTGGACCCTGTGAACATGCACTACTCTAGATACCCACGTTGCGTTGAAACGTGCTCTGGGAAACGACGGAGACTTTGCGGATTATTTGCGTGGATTTGAGCAAGTTTCTGCAGGGCGTCGACATGAAGCTAGTGTAAACGGTCCGAAAGATACATCCGTAACCCGACCGTTATGATACCACTTTAGTATTTTATCACTTGCTGCCGATGTGCAGTTGAACGAGACGAGAGATGTTCGGACCCTTTCGGTCCCTCACTCAGCAAAGAGTGTCGCCATGTGGCAAATTTCATCAAAGCACCATCTGACGTAGAATAATCGTATGGGAACACGCTACACTTAAGCGTGTTCCCATACGATTAGCTGCTACCTATTTCACCTTTTGCCGTCAGCGTCTTCCACAGTTTAGATTCTAAGCAAACGACTCGGCTCAAGAATTGAGAAAGAGAACATGGACTCATCCTCTATGACTAATTTTGATAGCATGTCTGGTATGGAGGGTACGGGGATGGATATGGGCTTAGATGGCATGTTTCGGCCGCTTAACCAGATGCTGGCTCGCATGTACTGGTACCTCGTCGCCGCCTTCTTCGCGTCTGCATTGTTCCTCAAAGGTCTTGGAGCCTTCGGGTCTTGGTCACAGTTAGTATCCTGCCTTACCTGACGGCCTGCGATCTCGGGCCCTTAAGCTGTAGCCTTGGGAAACGATGCTGATTGTGCTCTTTTCAAGTAAACGGTTATCGCGTGCGCTTTCCCTTTCTCATCCTACGAGACCTCGGGATTTGGTATCCCGAGCATATGCCACATCAGTCGCAATCTTTAGAGAAGTGTCTTATCCTCAAGTGGTCCACTTTATCCGGCCGGGCTGCGCGTGGTTGACTCCTCCGCCTCTAGGGCCGTCGCTGGTCATACTAATATACTGGATTATCATTGCCTTGTCCCTGATAACAAGGTCTATTATCCACGATGCATATTATTGGGAGCGTGTGGGATTTAGAGCGGCATGGGTGTCTGTCACACAGGTCCCTTTTATCTTTCTCCTGGCTGGCAAAGTCAACATTGCCAGCTTCCTTCTCGGATCATCTTATGTCGATGTGAATTGGCTGCATAGATGGGTGTCTAGAACCCTTTTTGTGACGGTCACAATCCACGGCTCATTTTTCTTAAGTGAATGGGTGCGGGCGGATTTCATTCGCATTGAATTGGCGATGATGCCGATGGTCAAGTACGGCCTTGGACTTTGGGCAGTATTGGCCTGGACTACGATCAGCTCTCTCATCCCTCTCCGGCGTCTGTGCTACGAATTCTTCGTGCTTCAGCATATCCTCTCAGCCGGCGTTTTCCTGTGGCTATTGCATAGCCACGTGCCTGCGTATGCATCATATAACCTCTGGATGGCAGTGGCTTTCGCACTTTCTGGTCGAGTGTACCAATTCTGTATCTTGCTCTGCCGTAACATTGCCATTCGGAAAAAGACGTTCGGCTTGATTGCAGGCAAGCGACTAGGCCACTCCGCGGAACTACAGGCTTTGGCTGGAGAAATCACAGTGCTGACTGTCCATGATGTTGGGTTCTCTTGGAAGGCTGGGCAGCACGTGCTCTTGTGGTGCTCAACCTTAGGACCTCTGGAATCGCACCCTTTCACAATCGCAAACATCCCCGATGGAGGAAATTGCGAGGACAGCCCCAACAAAGTGCAATTGATCATACGCGCTCGCTCTGGTTTCGCACGAAAGCTATTCCGACGAGCTGTTTCCTCCCAGGCAACCTCCTGAGCTGCGGTGACAGCCTTCCTGACAGGTCCCTTCGGCAACCTTCCAATTTGGAACACTTATGAGACTCTCGTTCTCATCTCCGCATCCACCGGTGCCTCATTTACCCTCCCAATTCTTGAGACTGTCCTCAAAGACCCTTGCTGCGTAAGGAGGATTGACTGCCTTTTATTGATTAGGCATAAATCGCACATCGACGGCTACATTTCACGGCTGCTCGCTGCAGCTTCTAAACCGAAGGTTTCATTGCATATCATGGTTGCCGTCACAGTCAATGAGGAGGATCCTGCCTGTGAAGACGACGCTGCATTGAAAATCGGCAATCTGTCGAATTTCAGCTCTTTCGACACGCCTGCTAAGACTCTGATGCAAACGAAGACAGAACAATCGTCCTTTAGCTTCGACAAGGTCGTTGTCGATTCCAAAATGGAAGGCTCGATAGAAGGAGAGGAGCATAGTGTGGGGATCAGAGTTAACGAAGGACACCACGATCGTAGTCCTGAGAAAGGCAGCTCAGTCCAGTATACATTCGGGAGACCAAGTCTTGCGAGCTTTGTGCGCAAACCCGTTGAGGCGTCGGCAGGAGAAACCTCCGTTACAATCTGTGGGGGCAAGGGCGTGACCTCCACGGTACGAAATTGTGTAGCTACGTTATCAGATGAACGGGCAGTTCATAAAGGTACCGGTGCGCAGGGTATCCATCTTCATGTCGAGGAGTATGGATTGTGAACGAAGACGACCCCGGGCGGGCGGGGGGGGGGGGGGCGGGCGGGGGGGCCTTGTTTTTTTTTTTTTTTTTTTTTTTTTTTTTTTTTTTTTTTTTTTTATTTTTTTTTTTTTTTATTTTTTTTTTTTTTATTTTTTTTTTATTTTTTTTTTTTTTATTTTTTTTTTATTTTTTTTTTTTTTTTTTTTTTTTTTTTTTTTTTTTATTTTATTTTTTTATTTTTATTTTTTTTTTTTTTTTTTTTTATTTTATATTATTTTTTTTTTTATTTTTTTTTTTTTTTTTTTTTTTATATATTTATTATATTTTTATTTTTTTTTTTTTTATTATTTTTTTTTTTTTTTTTTTTTTTATTTTAAATTTAAAAAATTATAAAAATAAAAATAATATTAATTATTTTTTATTTTATATAATATTAATTAAATTTATTTAAAATAAATAAAATTTTTTATTTTTTTTTTTTTTTTTTTTATTTTTTTATTTTTTTTTTTTTTTTTTTTTTTTTTTTTATTTTTTATTAAATTTTAAAATAAATTATAAAATAATAAATTATTAAAAAAAAAATAATAAAATTATAAAATTATTTTATTTTTTTTTTTTTTTTAATATTATTAAATTTTTTTTAAATTTAAATTTTATTTTATAATTTTAATTTTTAATTTTTTTTATTTTTTTTTTTTATTTTTTTTATTATTTTATAATTTTTTAATAATTTAAAAAATATTTTTTTAAATTTAATAAAAAATTTTTTTTATTTTTTTTTTTTATAATAATTATAAAAATTTTTTTTTTTTTAATTTTTTTATTTTTTTTTTTTTATTTTATATTTTTTTTTTTTTTATTTAATAATTTTTTTTTTTTTTTTTAAAAAAAAATTAATTATTTTTTTTAAAAAAAAATAATTAAAAAAAATAAAATATTTTATTTTTTTTTTTTAAATTTTTTTTATTTTAAAAATTAATTTTTAAAAAATTATAAATTTTTTTAATTTATTTAAGTTATTTTTTTTTTATTTAATAGTTCTTCTTAAAAAAAGTTTTTTCTCTAAGATACGCTATATAAATAGTTATTCTTTATTTAATATATATATTATTATAATATATAATAATAGCGATTTCGAGCTATTAAAGGCTCTTACTATTACTATTAATCTATTTAATATTACTATAAAGTTTATAGCCTTTAATAATAAGATTATTAAGCGTATATGAAATATCGACTCTTACATCTGCAAATCTGAAAAGTTCCTACTAAATTTCAAATTGCTGATCTTGCGAATAGGGCTGAAATTAAGAATTCCGCCGGTTTAGTAACTATCTCAAAAATCAGCCAAAATTCCGCCGGTTTAATAACTATCTTAAAAATCAGTTAAAATTCCGTCAATTTAATAACTATTCTAATCTTTTCCGCTAGTTCTACTAGTTTAATAGTAATATATATAAAAAAAGAAAAGTTCTAATAATCGACGTTATGACGATAAGATTCTACGACGACGAGTATTAATATTAACTTAAATTTAGCTACGAAATTAAATAATTTAATAAAATTAGTTACGTAGATAATACTCTAATATAGCGTATAATAATACGTATATTAATGATGATATATATTAATGTTATATATATATAGAATAATACTTACTAGTAGAGTATATTAGAGTATATTACGTAAAATTTTTAAAGTTATAAATTTTTTTTAAGTTGCTAAACTGATAGAACTAGTGGAAAGAATTAAGATAGTTACTAAATTAGTAAAAAGGGTTAGATATAGGTAAAGTTTGCTTAATAGACTAAATTGTGCTAAATCGTGCTTATAATACGAACCCGACGGAAATCGTGCGGAAAGGAACTTTTCAGATTTGCAGATGTAAAGATTAGTAATTTCTAAGATTAAACTAAAGAAATAATCTATTTCTTAGATCTTAAATAATTATTTAATACTTATTAAGATATCTATTAAATCTATAAAAAGACTTAATAATAGAGAAAATACCTTTATATTCTTCGAATTCGAGAATTTTATATTAGATTTACTATAAATACTAAACTCGAAGTTTAATATCTCTTAGATATTAGAGATATCTAATAAGAGATAAAGAATTAAAATCTCTATAATTTATAAATATAGAATTATACGCGATAATAAATTCGTCTATAATTAATACTTAAAGATCTATAATTATAGTAGCGATTTAAGAGCTATCTCTTAATATTTAAAGAAGAATTATTTTATTAATTCTATAATTAATATAATAACTAAAAAGAGAATATAAGATAAGATAGATATTAATATAGCTATACTTTATAGAGCGAAAATTAATATATAACTAAAAGAGAAAAGAAGAGCGAAGTTAATAGATATTAATCTAGATAAGAATACTCTAAAATATCTATATCTTTAATAGACTATAACTTAAAATCTTTCTTTTAAATAAGTTAGAAATATAGAATTTCGAATATTTCTTAAATATGTTAATCTCGTTATTAATCGAATACTTTTAAAATCTATTTCTATTATTAAGATATATATAAAAGATTTTTTTAAGAAAAAAAAAAGTAA